CCTAAATAAAGCTCTAAAGCTCTCGGCGTTGATCAATTCCTGTGGGATGAGCCATGCATTCGACTTCATTAAGCGTCGTTTGGCGGTGATTGAATGCATATCTGGCCTTTACAGTGACTCGCGATGGCCTGCCGATGTATCGAGTCAGTGCTGCTGTACTCCCAGACGAGTCTGGTACCAATTTGCGGACCCCGAAGAGATGGAAGGCTTGGTGGGCCATGGGAGCGGGGATCGATTCCACGTGTGTTGCCGGGCGCCTCCGACCACTACAACACACCAGCCCACATCCTTAATACCTAAGCTAAATTGTTTTATTTAGTCCACTTACTAGATTGGAGTACACGTGATTCTCATCGCCGGCATCTCCTACATCGCTAAAATGAGCCGTCGAGGACGGTCGACTCGCATCATTGCGACTTTGATGATGATAAAGGCGTCGAAGCGTTAGCGCAACAAAAATTGTTACAAATCCTATGATCAACTTCATTTTAACCCCGAAATTGGTCTACTCATTCAAGTCGAACCTTCGATTACTCTTTCTGGGACCTCACTTGTTACACACTGGACCACTGAGCCTCTTACTTTACCTTCTTTCAACCTGTTGTCTTCCTAACGGTACCACTCAGCAATCATCGGCGTCTCATACGTTAGTATCCACTGATGATCTGGCTTCTACTGACCCCTCTGCCTTCAACGATATACCCGTCATCAGTTGTGTAGACGGGACCACGGATATAAAATGGCTTAGTTTAAAAATCTAATTTTAATGCACTTGCTGAAACATATATAAGTCCTATTCCCGATTACCCAAATATTCTTTGGATCATCTACATTAGTCACGTCCTAACAACCCTAACAACGCGCACGTTATGGACTTCTTCGACTTTACTGTCCTTCACACTAACGTGTCGAATGACTTCGCAATGAAAGCCATCTGCGAGTTTCTAATGCAAGCGAAGGTATGGTATCAACATATATGGCTTCACGATTCAGCAGCTCATGGCGCTCCCAAAGGACTGCCCAAACTGCTTAATCTTCAAACGCTCTTGAAAATATTACACACAAATAAGAGGGTTGGCATTGGGGCGGAAGCTTGCACCAGTCCTTGCCATTGTCTTTATGCCTAAGGTGGGGTGGAAGCACCAATAGTCTTTTCTCGGCTATTATTCTACTGTATATATATATATCTACTGTATACTGTATATATAGACTCTATATATATCTACTGTATATATATATATAGATGATTGCTTCTCACCTTCTCTACACCAAATGTGATAAGCAAATGTTCTGAGTTGTTGAATGAACAGAGTACATTGAGTTTACTCCTTAAGAAGCAGAAGAGAACTGGTTTTCATTTATGAACGTCCAAATTAACCTAACCGAAAACGGCTACATCACGAAGTGGTACCAAAAGCCAAGTACCAAAAACATGCTGGTTCATTACTTTTTCTTTCAGCTCTCACGCACAAAAAGGTGCTTGTAGAAGTGTTCACATGAAGAGAACAGAAGGAAGAATCCCTGAAATTGGCACGGCAAATAGCCATTTTCTACGGCTACGAAACCGCAGCCTCTCATTGTAGCGGTAGAGGAAAAAGCACACAACCAAACGATATTTCTAATCAGAGTAAGGTCCTGTTTATTCCACCCTTTATTTGCAAGGAAATAAGTGTAGCTAAAAAAGTTACTTAAAAAAGGCCGGTCTAGAGAAATAGGTAACAGTAACTGAAAAAATACCACCGAACACATTCCGACGTCAACTAGTTCTTAACCGTCTGTATAGTCGTTTACGTAAAAAGCATAATGAATGAAGCTCTCGGCGTTGATCAGTCCTTGAGGAAGCTCAATCTATTCGGCATCATTAACCATGGTTGAAGGTAAATGAATGTATATCTGCCTTTTACAGTGAGTCGCGGGTGGGCTACCCATGTATCGAATCATTATCCTCTCGGAAAAGTCTTGTACCAATTTAAGACATAGAAGCATAACGGGGAAGATTTTGAAGTAAAGGTCACTATACTCGTACAATAATCCAAAACATCAACGCGTTAAAGTCTTTAAGCCTTCTGGATTAATTCCAAAAATCCAGAAATGGACCCCAAGCAGGAGTGTCTTGTAATTATGCTTGACCTTGCGTCATACCCTGAGCTGATTTTTGACCTGAGCCAGACATATTCAGCTGCTCTCCGCCAAATAAATGAGAGGCTTACAAGAAACAAAACACTGAGCTTTTAAAAACTTGCATTGCATGTCAATTTGAGCTTTCCAAGCTCTTATGAAGACGATATTAAATAAGTGCTGTTATACCAAACTCGTGTTTGCTCGTAGTGAAAAATGATAAGTTTAGCAACAAACTCGAGCTAGCTTATCAATGAAGTAGGAAGTTGATCAGTTTATTTATATAGAGTGTGTACACTCGTAAGATGAGAGCGTAGCGCTGCTTGTCAACTTATTCTGAAGTATCCAACGTCCCACCGACCTGCAAAGGAAGACTGCTATATCGGCGACCTAAGAAAACCCTAAGACTTTTAAGATGCTGAAGAGGAAAAACCTCATTCGGTTAGGGAATTGTCATAAGAAGTCATTAGAAACGGACAAAGCGAGCACTCCCAAGACACTTCATGGAGTCCTCTTCTTCCTCTATACCTATAACGCCAGAATGGTCTCTTCATAAGGCGATGTCTACGGTCTTCTTGAGATAGATAGTCGCATAAAATTTAATGTAATCGCTTACAACAGAAAAAAGCAGGAAGGCGGACATACGCGTTTACATAACAGAACCCCTACCATTGCTGCGTGGATGGGAATTTCCGTTACAAAATGTCGGAGGCGTTGGTTTTGTCGTACACTCATCTATTTGTCACCAAATTACTTCATACGAAATCCCATCACCAAGCTTGATATCTTCGTCTCCAACCTCCACGTGAAAAGAAAGCCAAACGATTAAAGTGGTTACCAACTTATGCAACTGATGGAAGCAATCTGTACACGTTCTACATCCAGATGGAAGAAGTAACCCGCAATGAGAAGTTCCTCCATAAATTCGTTGTTGGAGTCTTCAATGCGAGATTAGGAAAGCCTAACGAAAATAAGATCAAGGCAAAAAAATCTGAATAAGAGATTGAAATAAGAGTGGAAATTCTTCTGTAAGACTCCTATACACGGCTATTTCCTTTCATGAGAATTAATTCCTCTAGAAGATAGAAAATAGGTGATGGACATTAAAGTTTGCTAACGGCGCAACTCATGTGGAGTTCGACAATATTTTCACGAACATAAGATGGTCCCATTTGACACCTTAATGGTACTTGGGCTTTGTACTGGTTCTGATCACCACCACCTTCGTGAAATGATTTCATTCAGCCATAAGATAGAAAACTACATCTAATCGTTCAAGAAAAACAAGACAAATCGTGTATGATGAGGCCATTCTCAATAAAATCAGTGGCAGATGAAGGAATACCCCACCACAAACTAAAAGTTGCTTGTCAAAGGGCCTAAAGCATGTGCCGAACTTCCATCACTTCCTCAAACAAGACATTAAAAGCGAATCTCCATCACCGGGTGCATGCAACGCAGCGTTCGGAGGCGGCGTGCCACACATATGAGATCTATTCCCATGCCCCAGGTCCACCAAGCCCTCCATCCCTCCGGAGTCGGCTAATTGGAACCAACCCTATCTGGAGGGATAACAGCACTGGCACGATACATCGGTAGCTCACCGCGAATCATTCTAAGGGCCAAATATGCATTAATTCACCTTCAGCGATGCTTAGTGAAGTCGAATGCATGGCCCATCCCTCAGAGATTGGTCAACGCCGAGAGTTTCATTTTTTTTTATCTCCATCACCACTGAAGAGTGCCTGGACAGAATAAAAAAAAATGAGGCTTGATCCTACTACAACACGTCTAACTTGGGTGGTAATAGATACCAGTTGCGGAAGCACTTTTCAGGAAGAATTACATCGGTACAGAAAAATGAAACTGTTAGAAGCAGTCGAAAACCGATCTAATCTGAAGAAGTGTCATCGGGATCTTTGCTACTACAATGTTCGGCCGTTTGCTCTGACAAATGAAGATGACACTATCATTACGTTCTGCGCTGATATGGAATTGATAACGAAAAGTTAATGCCGATTTGGGCGCCCCAGATCAATCCCGCTGACGGGTGATTGCTGTGGCAAAATATCGATTGAAATAGTTGAGAGACAGGAAAAACAAAGGACCCGCATGGTGTGATGGTGAACGCGTTACTCCCCGGAAAGGACAATGGCGCGTTCGTTCCCACCATAGACACCTGCGGTCCAGAGTTTTGCAAATATCTCAGCAACGTTGTGGTTGATAACGAAAAGGTTCAACACCAACCTATCCTATTCCACAATGCCTTCTGGAATAGCCGTTGGAGGAAGCCCTCCTGAGATTCTTCTTTCTGAAGTTCGAGTCGTGACGTGACATTCTAGACTCTTCTGGAACTTCACCAGTCAGCAACATGCCAGACAAATGACAACTACGGTGGCGCCGATACATTTCACAACAAGAAGGCGTTAAAGCGTGCGAGTACAAAAGCATTTGCATTGATTTTGAAATAAACATAGATCGCTGAGCAAAAACAACCTTTCTCTGAATGCCAACATTGCTATTTTCAATGATGCTGAGATACTTGCTCCGGACCGCAGACACCTGCGGTCCGGAGTTTTAATATATCAGCATCATTGAAGTTATATTTTGCAATATACCTGCCATCAAAAAGAGTAGACAGCAAATAAAACGGTTGAGATTGCTATTTTAACTTGCTTTGGCTTTTTTTACACTTTATTTAAAGATTTCATAACGTGCACGAGTGGTATTGAAATTCGACATTGATGCGCCTTTCTCAGAAACTAAAGTATTCGGAGCTTTCGGGCTGCTCCACGTACCTTGTTGAAGGAGTCTGTGCAGTTCCTTCGCTGAGTAACAACAAGTGTACACAACATTCTCATGAGTCTTAGTTGTCGCCTTTTTCACGCGAACCGCCTTGTATCAACGAACATCAGCAAACTTTCGGCAATATTGGCTGAATCACTTTTTGAATCATTCGCTGATGACCACCATTTCGGAGCTTCATTTTCCTCGGGAAGCCTAAATTCTCTACATTTTTCGTGATGGAATATTGCTTTTTTAAGGGGACAGCAACCTAGAACTGTTTTTCGAAAAAATTTCCACAGTTGCGTATTCTGACTGATTTCTAAAGACCGTTCTCCTTTCCGTTCCTGTAAGACCTTCGTCAACTGTTGCTGCATAAGCGAAATCCTTCGTAGGTATAGGATTTGTAGATCCTAAAAATGTTTCAGCGCTGATGTACTTAAAATTTACTACTAGGTTGTTCAGAAATAAATGAGCTTTCTGAAATAGTTATTATTTTAGTGTATTTTTTTTCACGGATGAAATATTCCTTGCTCCTTACAATATTACAATCACTACAAAGCCGATTATATGCTCTTGCTGACCATTTTTTTTAATATTTTGTCAAAAGTTAAGTTTCTTTTTACCAACTTTAAGCTTTGAAATTCTGGGTGTCAAAAACGAATTTTCGTCAAATTTCCTTCTGTGGGTTCAAACTCGGTCGAAGTGCAGCAGAGACGTCTCGAAACTCTCGAAACATTAGTAGCAAAGGCGCGAACAACTGTTCGAGAGTTTGCAAAACAGATTGGCGTAAGCACAGAAACAATTTCCGCTCACCTGAATCGGACAGGAGAAGAAAAAACTCGGCAAGTAGAGACCACACGAATTAAATGGTAATAAAAAAAAGTTGCCGTTTTGAAGTGTCGTCTGCTCGTATTCTGCGCAACAAAAACACCGTTTTCTTGATCGAACTGTGACGTCGACGAGAAGTGGATTCTATACGATAGCTGGCGACATCATGATTGCATTGCCAATAGGCTCCACCTCACTTCACAAAGCCGAAATTGAACCAAAAAAGGTTGTGGTGACTAATTGGCGGTCTGCAGCAGGGCTGATTCATCACAGCTTTTTTAATCCGGGCGAAACGATTACGGCAGAGAAGTATTGGGAAGAAATCGACGAAGTGCACCGTAAACTCCAACAATGAGCGGCATTAGTCTAAAGAGAAGGACCAATCCTTCTCTACAACAACACCGACCTTACGTTGCGAAACCAGCGCTACAGAAGTTGGACAAGTTGGGCAACCAAGCTATGCCTCATCCGCCATATTCAACAGACCTCTCGCATGCCAACTATCACTTCTTTAAGCACCTTGACAAGTTCCTGCGCCAGGAATGCTTCACCGGCTACGATGACAAAAAAGGCTTTCAACGAATTTATCGCTTCCAGAACTTCAGAATTTGTGCAACTGGAATAGGAGAACTTATTTCTCGCTGGAAAAAATGGGGTTTTCTTCGAAATTCAGCCTCTCAACATGTTAAACGTCCACTCAATCAATGTTCCCGCATGTTATGTGTTATTTACTTAAAAACTTAGACTCCCGTGTTCACATGTTGTGCGGGCCTCATAAACACGATACAGACTGATCCATTAGACCCTTCGAAGTCCTCCTACTTGGGCTAGTACGGTTCTCTCAGCGCCTCATCCAAAATATTAGGCAGTATTGTGACTAACAAGATGCTTTTGAGCCGCACAATTAAAATCTGCCAAGTAGGAGTACAAAATATCCCGACAGCAGTAACCTCTCCCAATCTTGGCTGTGCTGGTTGCTTCTCGACAAAGGCTTTGAATTCTTCTCTAATCGATCAACATTACCTAGGGGCAAGGCAGTGTTGTTCATCGCTTCTCCTAATTCAGGAGCCAGTCTAGGGTGATTGACCCTGAAGTACATACATACATAAATATTTAACTAAACAAAAGCTGAATCCATAAGCAAGAAAGTTTCGAGTTCGAAGAACTCGAAGTTAGAAGATGAAAGCTCTTTTCTTTCAAAGAAAAGAACTTTTTTAGTGCGTTCTTAGATTATTAAGCTAACCCGAAGCTGTTATAAATGCTTTCTTATGCCAACGGTTTCGACCTCTTCTCTTTCTTCAGAGCCGCGATGATTCGAGTGGATAGTCCACAGCAGTTAGTTTTCGCGTTGTTGGTCTTTGTAGTTGCATTGAGGCAAATGTTTTTGAGTGGACATCCGCTCTAACACATCCACGACGACGTCCGATTTCTCACAGCTTGCCTATGGGATGACATTTCAATTTTTCACCGACATCGTATGACCCCTATGGAAGTCACACCGGCCACGGTGTCGCCTAGTTTTTAAGCTGCTCCCGATTTTTCTTACACAGATAGGTTTTCTTCCGCGTTTTGAAAGAATTTCGACGTTCTCTTATCCTACATATGTTCCATGTCTTTCTGTATGGAAGAAATATTACGATGTTTACCTTTTTGTTTTCAAATCATCACATTCCTTCATTCATTCCAAACAATGCTTATCAAAAATGATGCTGCTCAATGCATGCGTCGCCAGTTCTTCGATGCAAAGACATCTCTGCGCCTCTTCAGTAGCCGCTGTCTCTAGGCCGCACACTCTCCTTATCAGCAGTACTCTCTCCCGGAAAAATTAGAAACTAGTGAGAAGTTATTAAGAAGACACCCTCCCATAGCCATGCACGACACCCACCACGAAATCTCCGTTGAATAGCAATCATCCGTGGAAGGGAGTAATCGCTAGTTCGAATCTTGTCTCGGGTCCTTCTCCTTCTCTCAGCATCATTGTAGTTGTTGATCAGTTGCCATTCATTTTGATCCGTTTCGATGAGAGGAAGGGGCGACGCATGCTGTATCGGTCTTTAGAAACCTTTCATATAGTTTCTTTCAATCATTTTAGCCACTGAAATATTGATGTTACACTAGCGGAGCTACTGCAATGACTGAATGATCAACGTTCGGTCACATTGAAGCAAATTAAGCTTTCCGTGAAACGTCTTTATCGTCACTAACTTTTCGGTGCGATCATCTTCTATGCCGAAATAATTCGAACCAAACGTCTAAAGCAGTTATTTTTGCTATACGGTAGTTTTCACTGTTTCCATACAGTCAACTCGAGGGGACCATTTCGATGCATAGGCGCATATTTTTTTATTTTATTTTGTTTGACCCGTCCTCACGTCTACTTTGCGGATCCCAGCACTTCTCAAATCCAATTCGTTTTCTCGCATCCATCATCCACGAAGGCCTTCCAAGTTTTTACGTGTGGTTTCAGTTACTGCTTGAGGATTTTCATTTCATCATGAATGTCGTAGAATGCCGGTCGAGTCAATTTCCACGGTTTCCTGATATAGCCGGGCAGGAGCATTCCCATTTGGATTGCAGAGAGTGATTTCTTTCCAGAGAAGTCCGGCACTTATTTCCCAGCCCCGGAGGGATGAGACGCTTGGTTGGCCCGGAGCGGAATGGAACTAGCACCGTGCTTGTGATGACGGACATCACTTTCACTGTGTCACGCGCCTCATTCATAGACACGTAAACAATGCATAAAATAAAAGTCTGCTTCATATGGCGTTTTTGGGTTTCTGCATAATTTTCGCAGTCGTATGGTCGACTTCTTGTAAACATTTTATTTGCACCGTGACAGAAAACTGAAAGCAAACACATAAGAAACTTATCAGTTTACTCTGCCACGTCTTCCTGTCGTCGATTACCATGTTCCCTCTACGGTTAGAACAAATTTGCACCTCCTGCTCTGTCAGATAAACAAAATTCTGCCAGTTAGTTTGGCTTTGAGCCACAGACACTTGTACTACTCTCTACGAAATTGTTGACTCCACTCCTAATTCTGTGCGACTAACGGCGTCGAAAAACACTTTCAATGTAATCAACGTTTCACGAGTACAGGCGAGGCAGGCGAAATGAAGGACCCGCATGGTGTGGTGGTGAACGTGTTAGCTCTCGGAAAGGGTGATTGCGCATTCGTTCCCAACGCAAACACCTGCAGTTTGGAGTTTTGCGGATATCTCAGCATCATCGTGGTTGCGTTTCATGAGTAGTTTATGGTAGCTAGCTTAGTCACCGTGCCATACTCGATTAGATTTCGCATACTCCCCAGCTTATTCCGTTGTATTTACTGCAGCGGAGAAATCCTTCCTGTTAAATGAGTAAGAGCTAATTCGAAATATTCGATATAATTCGATGTTCAAATAAGGAAATAATTTGAAGACCAATGCTGTTGGTATGTAAATCTCTACATAATATCTCTGTTATGGCAGCAAACCGTCAAAGTTACTGCAAACGTGCATGTATTATGTTACCTTGATTCACTTTGAAACTATTTCTATTAAATCTTTTGTCGTTTTCTTGTTCAGCAATCGCGAGGTTTTTAAACAGCATACATTTACTTCCATAAAAACACAATACAATGCAACGCTAGCTGACGTTTCGGCAGTATCGCCTTCGCCTTGAAGGCAGTAAGTAAAAGAGTTAAGGTTGTGATTATAACTAAGCCTCAGCTTAACTGGGTTCAATGCCGATATTGGCTCCCCAGATCGACCCCGTTGATGGGTGATTGCTGATGGCAAAAAAGATCGATAGAAGTAGCTGAGATACGCGCAAAGCGAAGGACCCGGATGGTGTAGTGGTGAGGTGCGCTGCTCCCCGGTAAGGACAACAGCGCGTGTTCGTTCTCCACTGCACTACACCTGTGGTCCGGAGTTTTGCAAATATCTCAGCATTTCATACGAGTTATACTTCGCAACAAAACCTGCCATTAAGAAGAAAAAGGCAGTAAGTAAAAGAGTTAAGATTTAAATCTTTTGCATTACTCAGTATGGGGAAATACCAAGATCCTGGTGTTATATTTCAATACTGCAGTACTGCTGTTCCCCACCAATGTCTCATGGTTGCCTCATTTTTTCTTACGTTATTCTACACTTTCCAATCACATGCACGCCTAAACTGTCGCGGTATTGTGCTGCTTTCTTAAATGTCGTCTGTTCCGCCCTTCCAACCATGACTCGGTTCGCATTCATGCTGGTACCTCTCACACCAGATGCGTCAGCGATCTCTTCCCATTTGGGTTGTTTTGCGATTACGTCGAAGTTTAATGATCTCGTTTCAAACTGGTCGATGCATTTCCAAAATCTGCAATCCCTCTGCTTCGGAAAAGACCTCTAGTCGTCCAGTCACCTCCCATACGCACTGATTCCCATCGATCTGTCACAGTTGCTCACCGTTTACATTTCGCAATAACGGCGTTTCTGATATGTTCACCAAATTCTTCTATTTTGCTGAAATCCCCTTCAATTTCCTGAGGTCTGAATTCGTACTGAAGCCGCTCATTTACGGTGACGAGTATTTTAGAAGAAGCCACTTTAATGTCTTCTTAATCACTTTTAAGACGTCAAAGTTCACATCTTGGAAAATTTTTGCTTTCAATGGGAATTTCAAGACATTCCCAAGTATTCTTGTTCCTATCGATTTTGTGTCGTGGAACTTTTCTCTACGCAAAACAGAAGGAAGCCCGCATAAGACGGGGTTCCCAGTACAAGTCAGTTTCATCTCCAAATCTCTTTTATCGAAAATATCGACCATGCCGAAGTGTTCCACCATCAAGACGAGACCCTCGTCATCTACAAGCCTATGCCTTCTCTTCATGCTTCGTTAAGTTATCTAACTTATGTCATTTCTGAGACTTCGTGACGTTCTCATTTTTCTGCTTGATCAATGCCGATCGCCCATATATGGTTGAAAAAAACACCGTTTTCCCTAAATAAATGCATTCTTTATCACCTCGAGAATTGTGCTGGAAAACAAATTTATGACTTATCGTACAAATATAGCTTCCATTACAAACACTGTGGCTGGCAGTGTTCTGCTGAAGTGTTCAACTGTACAATACAGCGGGAAGATTCATACCCTTACAGAGTACCGCAAACTGGAAGGAAATTCGACGTTCCTCGTTAAGATTAAACCATTATTGGAAGTAACTGCCTTTTCGCAACAAGAAAGCCACAGGTTGACAAGTGGAAACTACTGCGGAAGCCTCAGCACAACTTTCGAGGATCTAGAGAAATAAAATCTCACCCAGCCAGCAGTTCCGGTAGAACGAAAGTTGTGCTGGGGTTCGCACGATTCCTCGAGATTTGTGAGCTCAGGTCATTAAAGTGTCCAAGTTAGTACTCACTAGAAATGATATTACTTCTAAATGTTATGAACGGAAATAACAAGTGAAATGGATTCTTCGGCTTCTTTCTGCTTGCTAAACAAATACATGAAACAGTTATTCACCCGTGGATGTGGGGAACGTGTTGGAAACCGTAAGCTCCAAAATTTTCGAAAAAAGAAATCAGGATAAAAAAACAAATTCCGGAAAATCACAGCTAGGGAACTCATTGGAGAGATCAATCGATGGCGCACAGAGTGCTGTTGGCAACAATTCACATAGAAATTTGTTCGATATCTTAGAGCCCTACTCCGAGGGTTTCAAAAGAATTCCTCATTTCCTGAACTATTAGACGCCTTTATGGTTATGTCAGTGCTTAACGAGACAATTGGGTAAACTGGTAAATGGTATTCGATGATTATACACTAGCACTAAGAAATGTTCAACGCTGTATTCTTTGTCGTTTATAAAATCCTAAGAGCGTGCGTAGCTTAATGGTTAGAGGTGCCCTGGGACACGCAAATGGTCTTTGGCTCAATCTTGCGCCTCGTAGTCATCAACCTTTATATCCCTCCAGGGTCTGCAAAATGGCATCGGACTTGCCTGGGAGGGTAACAGCACTAAGAAGACACATCAGTATTAGTTAGGCCAATCTATGCAGTCGATTATTGGCTCGCAAATATCGTGGCAATGGTTTTTTTAGCATCAGACTTTCACTGAACTTCAGGTCTAAGCTACGACTTGCAGGCGCTCTGCGACCGCGGCTTTCGGTTTTTGTCAGGCTCCAGTGGGCCAGCTGTAGGTGGAACGTTGGGCTGTTTTCACACGGGCTTCCGCATGGCCGACCTATTAGCCATCGTGAAATGACCCTGTTTTTGATTCGTTACATCTGCTTGCAAAGGTCTGGGTATCTGCTGTCTTACAAAGCAAAACTATGAGCTCTCGAATTGACCTGAGGTAATCAATTTTTGAGACGAAATCTTTCATCAACACTGTCTTCCCGGAACTTTCTCTAACCATCTTTTTGACCGGTCCTGTTTTCCATTTTCATTTCATTTAAATTTGATGGTGAAACATATTTCTGTTGTTGAATTGCGTGTGAGACGGCTCATTCAATCGATCAGTACTAATTTTATTTAATTGGTGTCATCTAAGTGCTTCGGGCTAGTGCTAAATTTCAGCCATGTTCTTAGTCATTTGAAATAACTCTTAGTACTAACTTAGATGCATAGTTTGTAGGTCTTCAGTAGTCACGAGGGTCTCAACCCATTACCCACGTGAATGGTACTTGGCTGGATGCATACGTTTTCACCTTTGCTGTGGCTTATCTATGCCTTGGTGTTCGGCGCTTTTTTCCAATAACTGTCCTCAGCCGTTCCGGATGGAAGGAAAGTTGCAATTCTATAATTGCACGATGATAAGCCTTCAACGCTGCTTCGCATTTCTGCGCCCGTTATTCCTCACTCTTGTAGTGTTGTAATTCACTGAACGTAGTAATGACTGTTCGTTCTTCAAACAAACTTGAATTACTTCTAACCGAGATGAAGAAGAGGAAACAAGACTGAAGTGTAGAAACCCATGAAGAACAACCAGTTCTTCATATCGGTTTTCTCTTTGCGGGTTATGAATTTAGCTGTGATAATATACAATTATCAATGCAGTCAATTTTATTTACTGCCTATTCCTTTTTCATGGGAGGGTAAGATGTGAAATATAACCATAACGATGCTGAGATATTTGAGAACTCCGGGCCGCAGGTGCCTGCGGTGGGGATCGAACTCGCTCTTACCCTTTCTGAGGGATATGAAGGCCCTTCGGCTAGCCGAGATGTGAGCTGAGAGAAAGACGAGGTGAGGGACCCCCATGGTGTGGTGATGAACGCGTCAGCCGGCGGAAAGGGTAGTAGCGAGTTTGATCCCCACCGCAGACACCTGCTGTGTGGGGTTTAACAAATATCTCAGCATCGTTTTGGCGATACAACTATCACCAGTCAAGCAATATGGTCGGTTTCGATTACTACGATGAAACCAAGAATTTCGCCTTTCCTTCTCTAATTACGCAGGTCGTCTGCAATAACGAACACTCTGAGCCTGCCTCCCGCTTGCCATCAAAACTGTTTTCTTGGGTCCACTTTTGGGCTAAGAGAGTTCGATGATGTTAGGCTTCCTTGGTGACCTACGTTCCACCGGCCGAAAATCACCGAAATCGCTATCACTTCACTTTCTGGGCTAATGTATCCGTTTCAGAAACGTCTTGAAATTGCTTCCTACTTTCATATTACTTGGTGCACCTGTATCCAGATCTTTAAGTGATAAATTTTCATTTCTTGGAAAGAACAATCTCCTACTTCTTGTTTCAAAACTCTAAACTTATAGCCGAGATCGCAGAAAATACCGGCATTTTAGATGTTATACGGAAAAACATTCGGATATCATTGATTGGAATTCATTCAATTTCCATAAAGGAATCAGAAAATACTAGCAGAGGCGTAAGCTGGAGTAATGCCGATTCTTCTCCTTCTCTGCTTCTCAGTTTCCCCCTATTTCTCTTATTCTTAACTGTTGTCTTTTCCTATCAATCGGATCAATATTCGATCCATATTTTCTGCTTGCAAATTTATTTACGTTAAAAGGCGAGATATGGAAAGCTTGGCTGCTTTTTCTCAATAACATGAAAATATGTTAAAACACAGTTGACTTCTATTCTATGCAAATGTACATTTTTATGTATGCATATGTATGTAAATCTCATAAAAGTCTACACATTGGACAACGATGTGTGATTAAGCACCAAGAAATATGTAAACAGATGGTGTGGAAAATGTTCCAAGATGTAAAAATTCGTGAAGTTCGGATCAGTCTTGTTACACGTCGTATTTGATTCCTCCAAAGCTAATTCTTTCGTGCATCTGTTGCAGAACCACTCAGACGCCCTGCAGATGCCGAACTGTCCTGCCTGCCAAAAGCCCGTCTATTTCGGTACAAACTATTTTCTGTTATTTTTTCTTTATTTCTTTTTTTTACATCGTTCTTGTTCGGCTTTGATGTTTTGCTTTGAATTCGATATGCAGATGTCAACTTACTCGCTTGGATACTTGGACAGCCCGTCCTCACTGGTTGTGCGAGCCACAGCATAATCTCCGTTTTTCGGAGCTTTGCTGGTGTAGCAATCGCGGTTCCCTGGAGTACCGAGGTTAGCCTGGCCAAAATCTGCCCTAGGTCTTCACCACCACAGGTAGTCGCAGCCCTTGTGGATCAAAGAAAGATTGGCCACCATGCGACTAATTTGATACCAGGGCGGCGGTCAATCGTTGTATTCGTTTACTTTTAGCTAGGCTTTCTGTTGGAAACGCCGGACTCCTTCTCAGCGTGGTAGACCTTGCTTAGGGGATATATACTCCCGCTGTACATCGCAGTCCGACACCCAGGAACTCCTCCCAGCAACGATGAGGCGGTGAACCGTTGGGACCAGATATCAAATTCAGCGAAAATATAAAAAGGATAACTTTTCCTTAAACGAAACACGTATTCACCGTTTGTTACCAAGTAGTAATACGTTCTTCCCAACTTTTTACCGCCTCATCGTGGCTAGAAGGTGTTCCTGGGTGTCGGACTGCGATTTACAGTGGGGTTTCATCCCCTGGCAGGGTCTCCCAAGCTGAGAAGGAGTCTGGCGATTCCATCAGGAAGCCTAGCTAAAAGTAAACCAAAACCGGGAGTACCAGGATCCACCACCGCTCTGGTATCAAAGTCGCATGGTGGCAAATCTCCCTCTGATCCACAAGGGCTGCGACTGCCTGTGGTGGTGAGGACCTGGGGCAGACTTTGGCCAGGGTGACGTTAAGATTTTAAGAAACCACTATGGCTT